GAAGCAGAAAGAAGATTGATTTTCACAAACTACCTTGTACCTGAAGTAATGAGAGTGGCAAATTACTTGTTCACTGAGCAAACATGACAGGAATGTCATAGAGGGAATTTATATATATATATGCAAATGCACAGGGGTCATATGGTGTTACTTTTACAAAGCGACCTTTTTCACCAGGGGGGAATTTTAAAATTTGCCTCAGTCTACACAGGAAAGGTTGAATAAAACTGCAAATGCCTGCATTATGTGGGAGGTAGAAACTAACACAACTAATAAATAATGTAAGAGTCAACATAGTAGAGAAGATCATTTAAATAACTGCATTATTTCTGTACAAGAGACTTGGGGTCTCCAGTGATTTCTGCTACTCATTTAGGCTTTCTCTGAAGTAGCAAATAAAATATTTGTCATAAAAAAGTAAGAGGATATGGGACTAATTTTCTATCAGATTTTTGTCTCTTAAGCATTTTGTCAGGATTCAGTAGAGAAATAGGCTTATGTATCTCTTTATGAACACTTGCATTCACAGGGTCTGTGTGTTTGCAAAAGGCATATGGATCTTACTGACAGTGAAACTTCCCACATATGTAAAGCAGGAACGAATGAATTTTGAACAACTTCAGGGAAGCTGTTGTTTGTAAAGAAAAGAAAAACAAGGAGCAACAGAGAAAATGTTGTTACTCCTAGGAAACAGATGAGAATTTCATTTGTGTATAAGCTTTTAAAGGAAGCATTTTTTTTTTCTCTTCAACAACAAAGATTACATGAGTTTGCACTTCACCTAAAATCAGAAAGCAAAGCAATTTTGCACTGGCCATGTGATTCTCCTCTAATTCTGAACTATTGGAAAGGTAGCTGATCTCAAGTCCAGAAGCAAAGAAGGAGGAAAGTAGAAACTCAAAAGCTTATGGATGCCACATCGAAAATACGCATCTGTGCATGGCATTTTCAGTACCAGCTGTATGGTTGGACCACATCTGCTGCTKAAAGTGGGCTGACAGTGAGATGGAGCATTGACAAGGAGAGCCTGTCCAACCTAGGAATGTACTCACATTTTGCTGCTGTTGAGTGGCAGAGGGCAGGGAGAGGGATTTCTGCTGACATGGCAGCTTRTGAAACTCCTCTGCAGCATCAGATATGGTTTCTCCCTGAGAAAACAGTCCTGCAGTTTTTTGTCACTGATCACCAAAACAGTCTATTCTTGAGTTCATGATACCAGACTGGTGATGGTCTCATGGAGTGTGCCTCAGGGAAAACAAATCTTAGGGAGCAAAAGTAASAAATCCTATGAATGTATTCCTTGTGTTATGGTGTCACTGAAGAGCTGGGCACAGCAGAGCCATCCCACGCTCAGCCACTGCCTCCTTGAATCATGTGGGTGACATCTTTTTGTTACATTTTGAATGTGTTCCTGAACCAGAAAAGGAGCCATCTTTCTTTTTTCTTGCCTCAAAGCACATTGAAAAATGAGCTCAAAACCAGCAGACTTTCATGTCCTCTTTTGTGTGAAAATGCTGAGAATCTTTGGATTTATTTCAAATATGTTGTGTTAGAAACTGAAGGAAATTTTTTGTTACACATAAAGTTCACATGTAAAATTAGTTTTCAGATGTAGCTGTTTCCTATGGCATGCCTATTCTCTGTTTTGATCTGTGGCTTACTTGGCATTATGGAAGCCTGGGTGTATCACAGGGAGGGAGAGGTTCTGCAGAAAAGAAGGTAAATAGAAGAATAAAATGACTCAAAGRAAACCATTTGGGTTAATATCTACAGTTCCTCTGTGGAGCTCTGCATCACCTCTAGTGAAAGCAGACATAATTTGGGAACTCATTTGTCCTACTTAACACAGCCAGTTATGTCAGTGTAATAACAGTACTGTCAGGGTTTCAGTACTGAAACAGACTCAGCTTTCTTTCCTGGATGTGCTTACTTGATGTAGATCAGGGCTGCAAGAGGCTAATAGCTGTTTCAGAGCTCAGGTCAAATGCTATCTAGTTCCAGTGACTTCTCAGTGCTCTATTGTGGGCTGTTTTGCAAATCCACAACAAAATAATGAGTGTCAGAGTTTCTGAGCCCAGGTGATAATGCAGGCAGTCATACACTGAGTGTATCTCACRGCCTCTCTGGCCTCTCCTTCTTTCGTAGCTGTTGACCCACTTTGTTGATGAGGTGTATCCATTCCAACCACTCAGCTTCCTGGACTACAAACCCTTCATTTTTTTTTTATTTCTACAGCTGTATTGCTTTAGTGTGTGTAGCAGGACTGCTGAGAGTAGAGAGCTTCACATCTTGTTTGTGCTTAWGCAGCCACTTGTCTGTCCTTGGACTGACCATCGTGAGTGGACCGCACACAACCACAGGACTAGGTCTAGGGTCATATAGCATAATTACTTTGAAACTTAACATCTTCTTTCAGCTTTTTCTATTTCAGCAGCTGTTTGTTATGAATGCTTTAACTGCTCAGCTTTTTTTTTTGTAGTTCTGCTAGTGGCCTCTGAGCTATTAGTTGCAAGCTAGAACTGCAACTTGCACTGCTTTTTCTGTTATTTATGCCTATTATGGGACTACTATTAAACAGAGTTCAGATTTTTGTCCTTCTAAAGGTGAATACCACAAATAACTAGTGCAGAATAATGTAATAGGTTCGTGGTGCAGAAATGGTGTACAGTTTTTCTCATGACTGAGAAACCTGGTAATGGCATTGARCCCAGATTTTCTGTGTCAAAACCAAAACCCGTCCCTGACTTTGCAGAAATAAGTCTCAGTGCTAGCTTATTCCTTTTGGTGTGCTCAGCTGTGTGCAGGATTTGTGTGTTCACTCTGTCATGTGTCCTGAGRGCTGCTGTTCACAGGCAGAGAGTTTGGTTTTTTCTCTTTCCCCTGCTGCTACCGCTTTTCCTGGTGCATTTGCATTTTCTGATGTGCATTTGCTGCCAGTCTCATGGCACAGTGAGTGAATCTGGCATCAGCAGAATACAGGAAGAAACTGTATTAGATTCAACCTTGCTTTAATGGTGCAAGTCCCACTGGGTTTTGAGCAGTGSTATGTAGGTGAGGAAGAAAGATTTGATTTTAATGAGAGATGACTTGGCACCAGCAGCATAACAGGTGCAGTATGAGAATCCAGAGTGAAAGAGTTAATTCATATTCTTTTCACAGAGAGAGCTGTGAAAGAGCGTATGCTGAATGTGCATTCCAGTTTCAATTTTTTGTTCTTATTTACAGTGRCAAATAATGTATTTCCCTTTAGCTTTGAGTGGTTCATAAACCTGGAGCTGATGATGAATATGCAGTTTACACTCCAAAGGCACTGGAACCAGTGCAAGAAGGCAGAGCTTYGAGTGGTTCACAGCACACTGTGATCGCTGCTGTGATTATTAATCAGCCAGGCTTTCAGGGGCACATGCACTATCGTGGCTACAGCACTTGCTTACTCCTCTCTCCTTTTGCTTGATATACGTGATATGTAAACCTCTGGGAACACATAATAAATATGTGACTTCTGTAAAAGATTGCTGAGTTCTGTTTGCTCTGAATTCATGTTTAAAAGAGTTTGGTACACTCTTCTGYGGGTTGTTAGTTTGAGTCATGTTTTCTAACACACAGCTTGCTCATCAGTCTCCTGGAGACCTAGATTAGCAGTTCTGGGGGAAGTGGTCTGGTTTCAAGTCTGGAAATCATCAGAGGAGTTGTGTGGTGTGTGTTGGCTTACCAGCATGCGGTGTTCTATTTGAAAGAAATTGCTGAGAGGAAAGGAATTGTTTTGAAGGAATGGAAAATTATTTGGGACTTTGAACATACTACTGATTAATTGTGTGTTAGAGCAGTCTGTATTTCAGAGTTGTGGTTGCCCAAGATAGCCCTATATATGAGCAAAGAAAAGAGATGCACTTGAATTCCTTTGGGTTTCTTATGAATGTAATAGGAGACAATTGTGCAACCATACTGAAGTAGTGCATTTTTTTTTCTGCTCAGGAAAGCAACCTAGTTCCAGGCATTACAGTTTTGTTCAAGTGATCAAATTTCAGCTTTTCTAGTAGAAGTGGTTTGAAACAGCTATCACTGTTCTACTGACCTATCAGCAGAAGCATGACCATTGTGTAGAGCTGCTTCTTAGCCAGCTCCCTAAGGTTCTTCTACGGGGAAGAAGTGAGAGAAGGACCCATTATTATACCTCTTGCCATTCTCTGCATGACTGTAATCCCTAAGTACTAGAGCCTACATTCCTGAACGTGTCTTTCTGGCAGGTGGAGGGGTATTTTGTCTTTAGAGGAGGTTACTGAGAAATAAGTCATGTGTTATCTTGAGCTTGAAGCACCTCAGTGGCTTGCTGTCACAGTGAAAACATCACTGAGCTCTGTGCAATTTCCCTTGGTGCAGTAAATCAAATCTTTTCATTACCCAAAGGTAGACAGGAGAGAGGGTAGTGAATCTGCCCTGCTCAAGTTCACGTTCCCCCACCACTCAGGTCTTCCTAACAGGATTTCTCTGTGGGAGGATTGGTATCTGAGCTGAAGGTCTATTCAAATCTATGATTGCCTTATGACTTGTGGGCACGATTTAAAAAGACCTGCAATCCCAAAAGCTGAAAACACCACAGTATGATCAGAGAGAACCACATTACCATGGCTGGCTGCAGACACAGTAGTGGAACTACTCTGTTTATCAAAATCTGCTCAGAGGTGCATGGATTCATCCTTCTTGCCAGCTTTGGGGTCTGCTGTAGTTATGAACACTGTCTGTGCCTTGGGAGAAATGGTGATGGTATTGAATTCTCCTGGTACTGACTAGGATGGAGGAATGCTGTCAGACCAAGGAGGGAGGTTATGTTGCTGCTCTGTTTAATGTATCTCATTTAGAGCTAAACAGAATTTAAGGCTTTAGGATTGTCAGCCAGACCCCTGTAAAAATTTGGTCAATTCTCCTTAAATTAAGAAAAAAAAAWGTATTTTTAAGAAATCTGAAGATAAACATTTATTTTTGTGTATTTTTGTTTTCAGGATGAATAAGAAATACTTACAGAAAGCAACTAAAGGAAAACTGCTAATAATAATATTTGTTGTAACGCTGTGGGGAAAATTAGCATCTGGGGCAAATCATCATAAAGGTAAGAAATTCTGTTCTCTTTTATTATACTGTTGTATCTGTGGCCTCCATCTACAAATTTGGAAGGGTTTGGTCTATGTGACCTTTTCTCCTCAGGTGTATTTGTGTCTCCTGATACTGGTTCACTAATCAGTACCAAAGAATGGGCATTTTCAATGCATAGACTTTTATTTATTTATTGACAATTTAAGTATTTCCGTGCCATTTTCAGCATTCTCTGATTTTATGTCATTTAGTAATGATGGTATAGTTGAAAAAAAATGCTAAAAAAGGTGTGGTAAAATAAGAAAATACTGAATACTTCTTGTCTCATAAAAATAGTTATATCAGCAGATATGTATGCTGCAAATGAATTCCTGGAATGAACCCTAGAAAGAAACAATTTTTAGTAGCATAGATGATGCTACTGTGTGCAGTTATCTGTCAAGGCTAACATAATGGATAATGTGTATTGAATGAGATTGTTTCATCACCAAAAAAAGACTGCTGCTTTGCAATGTTGTCTAATTTCTATGCTTCACTCCTAACACCTGACCAGGGACTTTAGTAATTTGTGACAATGAGAGTTTTGTTTCCTCTTGTCATTCCAGCCCCTAATATGTATGTATACACACCAGCACAAGCTGTGATGGTTTATTTAATATTATAAAAATGGGTGGGTGGTTTTTTTTTTGTATGTGTGTTTCTGTTAACCCTAACACAAGGAACAAGTTCTCCAGATTCATGTACTAATGCCTTCTTATAGGCTTATATAACTTGAAATGTGATCTGCAGTATAATATGATTTTGAACTCCATTTCTCATCATCATATAATGTCTGTTGGCTGTTTATCTGGTTGTACAAGATCAGAATAAACTCTAGCAACCCAGGTAAATTAAGGGTGGGACACGGACATTACCACAAGCTAAGAAGTTAAACCCAGAGGAGGAATTAAAAAAAAAAAGCAGTCAGTTAATTTCTCTGTTTCTGTTTTGTAATGTTCACCCTGATGTTAGGATTTCATGAGCAGATATTTTATAAATGAAATATATATTTTTCTGCTGTGCAAATATACATTTCTTCAAAGTACCTCTCTGATAAAGGACTTCAGGATGCAAACACTTTCTTCAAAGTCTTTTGCAAGCTTCAGTTTGACTGCAGACAAAACAGAATCTGATGTGGTCCTGCAGGCCACYGGGGATGGGCATCACGCCAGATGAGAACCATGCTGACACCCTTTGCTCAGCCTTGCTCTCCCTCCAAACCAGAATATGGATTTCTGCTGTGGCTTTCCAGTTTAGCTGCCTATTAGAAATGAGCCAAGATAGCCTAGCCTGCATTCAGAATTCTTTTGCTTTGATTATCTCTCTTTAAACATCGAAAAAGCCAATATCCAGTCCATCTATATTCCATGTGCAAGGGCTGGTAAAGCTGTGTTTGCTTCTATTGAATTCAAACTTTGCCAATGTTTGCTTACTACACTTTTTGAAAAAATGGTGAGTAAAACCCATCACCAAGTATTTGACAAATTATAAGGACTATTTTGGGAATTAGTGCTTCATAATTAAGAGTAAAAACATCCACTACCATTATTTTTCCCTGTAAGACTTCTTAATATATTTTGTTAAAGGTATCAAAAGATACAAATTAAAGAAAAATAAGCTTTTAGCTACCTTGCAGCAATATGAAGAAATCCCTATAGCTAATAATCTGATTTTCAGGGGGGCTGGTGCACTTTTCTTTTTTTATCTAAAAAGATTAAATTAATATTTCTTAAGTTATCTCTGCTCTAAGGCTGAGGCTCAAATAACAAACACTGTTCAGATAACTAATGGTATAGTTCTGCTGGGGTTTCCCTTGCACAGAAAAGCTGAAATTGGTGGTGGATGTTTTTATTCTCAATTATGAAGCACTATGAAGAAGTCTTACAGGGAAAAATAACAAGAAGCATGACTTGAGTGTTTAATTTGAAAAAGCAGCTACTTTACCTGTTCGGTGTCTTTTGGAAAGAAAAAAATATTCAGAAAGATTTTGGCTTGTGGATTTAGTAAATCAGTTGCACTCACTGTATGGAGGATTTAAAAAAAAGCACAAGTCAGAGTTATGCAGCTCAATTACCATTGATTTCCAAAGATACTGGGAGTTTAAATTCCCTTTGTGTCATAGAAAATCTTCCCCTTGCTCTCATGGCAGAAGTTCATTGGAGGTACATTGAAGGAGAATTTGATGCTGTTCACCTTTGCATGGAGTTTCCAAATACTGAGAAACGTGTGAGTTTTTTCAGCACTAATTATTCCTAGCATCATTAATCTTCATTTATAGAAGTCCTTACTARCATATTGACATGACAAACCCTAATGACTTTGAAGGAGCCCCTACAATTCCAAAAATCAATAATCTGCATTTAAAAAAAAATTCCTATTGACTTACTCATATTATGCACTAGTTGCACTAACTTTCAAACCCATCTCCTTTTCAGAAAGCTATTGTTGAGGAAAAGAAAAGGTAAAAGAAGAAAAAGATCATCAGTGTGTGAAAAATTGTTTAATGAGCATGGTACTCTCCAGGCAGACTTCAGGAGGAATATAAACAGATAACTCTGACAGGCTATCTCTAGGCTTGTTGCACTTGTTTCGGGGATATGGCACATATGAAAACTCCCAAGTCAGCAGCAAGAAAAATAGATGCCGAGRCAGGGCTCTGGAAAGCAGGCTCTGAGGACCAATTGAGCAACAGGGTTACAAGCTGGGATTTCAGATTACATCTTTTCAGTGTGATGTGTGTGGGTGCCAAACCCATTCTTCTTTCTCTTGAGAAGTCTGCTTTGAAGACACTTCTGCTCCCATTATCTTGATTGATAGTTGAAATTTCATCATTCTGGACAGTCAGTCCGAGAGCTAAGAAAGTTAAACAGTGTTTAAAACAACACAAATCTTGCTTTTTTTTCTTCTGCACACAGGATTGTGGGTTCTCTTGTGTGATTCCCAGCTGTGCACATACCTGTATTTCGTTCATGCTGTATTCAGTAAGAAAACCCCAATTACTCTGCTTTTCTTTATAATTTTGCTGTGGACCCTGGTATTGTGGTGATGGTACTTAAACTGAGAATCAGCTCACAGTACCAGGAGCATTTGTGCTGCAGTAGTTACATATGAGAAGAGAGGCATATCAATCTCCAAAAGGATGCTGTCAAGTATATGAGTCGTAAAACTGATAAAGACTGATCCTGATCCTCCTACAYGTTGCTAGCCCTTGGAAAACAAACMAACCTGTACAAACATATAGTGTTTGCTGGCAGATATGGCAGGCAGGCATCAGTTCAGCATCACTGCCTGTTTGCTATTTCTGTCATAGGGAGCATGAATTGATTTGATGACCATCGTGTCTTTTTAAGAAAAAAAATGTACTGATACCCCCTTACAAGCAATCATTTTGAGGCTAAAGGCTACTGTGATACAAAATGTCTACCCTAAAATGAAAAACTCTTTCAAAATTCATAATTCTGTGAACTTTTTTGATCACTAAGATTTTTTTTATGTTGATAATGCAATAGAATATTCTAATTAGATTGAGTGCTTTTGAATCTAAGCATAGTTTACACAATGAGTCTTACATTAAATTTAAGTCCTGGAAAAAAAWAAGAAATTAAAAATATGGCTAATGATAAATGCTCGCATGCCAGAAGGAGTTTATTAYGGAACCAGAAACACTCCAGGTAGATAAGTAACTGAGTATTTTTTGATTTATCATGAAAAGTCATGGTAATTTGTTTTCATTTAAAAAAAATCCGAARGTGGACTTATTCATCTGATGCCCATCATATACATAAACTAAACTATCAGATATGATGTAGAATTGCTGCTCCTACTTATCTGTGAATTTGCACTAAATTAGAAGTCTGAGGGAATGTCTTTCTATTCAAAAGGAGATAAAGAATTGTGGCTTCTACACTACTGGCATCAGTGCTTTGATGTAGCCTGTGGCTATGAGAAGCAAGAAACTCTATTCCTAGTGCTTTGAGACTCTGCCCAGATAAGAACAGCCCTATGGGTACATGGGACATCTCCAAAGTATTCAAACTTTCTGTAGAAATACCTTCATTGTGAGGTTATAATGGTTTAGCATGAACTTGTGTTTGCCCTTTTTGCTGAGGATTTTACACCCTGTAATAGCACAGCAGAAATAGAGGGTGTTTGCATTCAATTTAAAAAACAGCAAGCAGCCTCAGTGCAGAGGACAGAAACCAGACGTGGGATAGCTCTCCTTCCCCCCAGTAACCATTAGATAGCTCCATGCTCCCTCTTGTTTTCTTCTGAGTGAGCCAGGTTGGAGGTAATGCCATTCTTTGGGGACATAAGATACATGGTTTGAAGTCTGAGTTAAAGAAGGCACCAAATACAGATCTCCCAGGTCCATTATGGGGGCTCTAATACCAAGGGTAAGCAGATGCAGGACTGTTTCTTCCCTGGTTTTTACTTTCTTGAAGTGCAGTGTAACATCTGGTGGGAGATCTGACCCTGTGGGTAACTCACACGTGCTAAAGATGCACCTTCTGGTTGTGTGGACCTGTCAAAGGATAGGACAGTTGTTCTGCTTATTCCCAGGTTCTTTGCTGGAATTAGAACAAAAATGTCTAATATTTAAATGTGGGAAGTTGCAAGCATGCAGAGGAATGTGTGTGGATGCCTTAGGAGTACCGAGAAGCTTTAGTAGGGTCTGTCAAAATATTACATGGACAGTCCCACTCATGTATTGTTGCCCTCTCAGTCCTGCTTCATCAAACTCTTTTGTCACATTTTCTGTCTCAAACACCGACCATCCTATCTCTTGTAAAAGTTTGGCCCAGATATGGATTCTTTTAAATGAGAATGCTTTGTGTGCAGCTTTCACYAACTTAATTCTATGGGTAATTAATGTTTAAATATAGAAACAAAGGAAGATAGTTATTTTAGCAGGCATGGGGAAGAAAGATATTAAAAGTTCTTATCTAGCTTGGGCATTATTTGAGAGTTTCAGTCATA